CTTCCTAAACGATTATTCAGATTTTGATAAATCTTTCCGAAGTTTGTTAAGGAAATTTTAAAGGATTTTTTTATTTTTAGAAATATAGTTAGATTGTAGAAATAAATGGAATAATTGCAAAAACGACATGTCGTTGTTTGACATCGAAAATATTTGAGATATTGTTTGGCATTGAAAACAAATGAATAGTGTAATCTGCCAAAAATTTCAATTTACTTATGAGCCTAGACAATATTAGAATATATATAATAAATTCATGATTATGAATAAAAAAAAGTAATGTCTACATTATTATTGCCGAAAAGCAGCTGAGATGTGCCTAAAATTAAAATAATATAAGATACAGTATATGCTTATACAAGCATAATGTATACATTATATGTAATAAATATAAGATTACAGTATATGTTTGGCAGATGAAATGATTATAATTTTTTTAACTTATGCATGTCGTATTTTGCCTTACTTTACTAAATTATTTCACAATACAAAAAATAAATTTATTCACTCAAAAAATTATTTAAAAGCTTCATTGTGTCAATAATACTATATATTAATTAACTTCCCGTAGGGCAAGTTATAGTAATCGAAAAAAAATCGAAAATGAAAATTTTTATATATCTTTACGTTTCAAAACCTACTGAACATTTTGGCATACCTTAGAAAAAATGGATGTATGTGTGTGTGTGTATGTGATTTTGCGAACACGGATGAAACGATTTTAATAATTCAAAAAACATTCGCTTCGTATTGATAAGGAGACGTGCAGATTAGTTTTTGGCAAAGGCAGGTCTAGCCATTTCGAAAATACGGGGCAAAAAGTGCCAAAAATGGTAACTCGGTTTTAATAATTCAAAAAACATTTCACTTGTATTGACAAGATGAAGAATTGATCAAATTTTAATGAAGGCAGGTCTAGTAGTTTCGGAGATCTAGTGAAAAAAGTAAAAAAATGCCATTTGTCGGTCAAAAATGATCATTATTAGACATATGCACATCAAATTATCAGATATTTTACAGAGATTTTAATAATAAGTATAAATAAAAAAAGTAATTTTTTGTCAAATTTATAGTTTCTCAAAAATCTTATTTGTTTGAAGTAAATTTTGTTCAACAATGTTAATCTTTAAAAAAAAAAATAATTTTTGGTACAGGAAGTTTCAGCAATTTGCCATAATGCCATACACCACTAATTTTTTCTGAATTTGTTATACCGTTTAAAAGACTTCAATTTCCAATATAGTTGTGGGAATTGAGACTCATCATTTGATTTACGTTCAGTTCACAGATTTACAAACAGTTCTACATTTTACATTCTCATATTATAAATGCATATGTATTTTGGTGTAAAGAGTAATTTAAAAAACAATAATTATTATTTTTAGGTAAACTGTAAATATTAGTATGGGATATTAAAAAATTGTAGACGTCTGTCGGGTCATTTAGTATATTTATAATTAATTAATTAATATGCAAGAGTTACCTTTTTGGCAAAATTTGCAATGATTTGTTTTATTTTGGCATTGACCAAATAAACTTTGTTGTCGATTATTGCTGAAATTGTAGTTCTGCAGCCTTTGATTTCTTCTGGAGTTCTAAAAAATAAAGGATAAAAATTAAATCAATAATATAAAACAAAAACATAGCTCTATTTGTATGAACTAAATCTTAAGTAATAAAATATATAAGCAAACATAATTTTTTGACATAATTATAATTTATGCCATTATTGAAATCTTTTATTACTACAATCATAGCATTATTAATCTGAGTTGAATTCTAGTTGATATGAAGTATTTGATAAAGCAGTCCCTAATTTTGTCGATTTGACCAAACCTTCTTTACCTTTTTAAATTTTCCAAAACTTTTTCAGTCCCTAATTCCTCCACAAATTTCTGCAAACTTGTCTGCACATATTCTATAGTATTTATACCAACACACCACTTTTGGCAACATATATTCTTTCCCGAGCTTATGGGATTGTCAGAATGCAACTTGACACGAATGCAATCAGCATAGAAGACAAAACAAACATAAATATCCTACAAATAGAAAACAGCATTTAAAATTACCATCAGCATTTTATAATACACTGACAGTATTTTCTAGTATCAGTATTTTTTTAAGGTTAGTATACTTACACGAATAATTTTGGTGATAAAAGTATAACACCCTTCGGGATCTGGCCATTCTAAACGATCCCAAAATATTTTGATTTGGTAAAAGAATGCTAGAGTGTCTACAGCAGACGAGCTGTGGTGTACATCATCTGTAAAAAGAAATACAACTACATATTATAATAAAAGGTTAAAATGTCATGTTCCAGACAATCGATAAATAGATAATAGTCAATAGACAAATTCTAATGTGTTATGAATATCCAGATTTATAATTAATATTTACAAAAGTAACATTATTAAAGTGATTTTACATTTACATTCTGAATTTTGTTGAAAATTGTTTACTTCAAATTGAATAATATTGTGTATCCGCCATTTTATGTTTAATGTCAAATTTTGCACAAGCAAGATTTAAAAATCCAAATAATACAAAAAATACTCACCACAAAGCTGTTTCCAATAACTACAAATACTTTATTATTATTCACCTGTAACTTGCACAAAATTATCCATTTCTACGGCCTTTTCTATTATTTTTTCGCTTTAAAGAAGCGACATCCAGCCAGTGCGTTACACCGGTCGTGAACCACAAATGACAACGCGCCATGTTGCCAACTTCAGTCATATTGGATTTGGTGTCATTTTTTGAATTTTGTGATTGATTTTCGTTAAATTTGTTACCTAAACTAAAAAAATGGTTTAATTTATAATATTATTATTATTATTCAGTTTATATTATTTAACTTATGACGTATTTAAGCATAATTAATAACCCTAAACTAAAATCAAATATTATAAAAAGAGTTGGGATGGTCATGAAGTTCGCACAAGTAAAATGTCAAATAATTTAAATTTAAATTCAAATTTTGTATAAAATATTTTAACTTCCCGTACAATAAGTTATTGTAACCATCCAAAAATCGAAAATGAATTTTTTTCACGTTCTAGAGGTTTCTGAATATTTTGGCATACCTCAGAAAAAACTGATGTGTGTATGTGTGTGCGTGTGTGTATGTATGTGCGGATACAATTTTTCGTCGACGTTTTTAAGAGTACGGCTCAACCGATTGAATGATTCAAAGATCAATCGATTCCTATTGATAGGGAGACGTGCTGATTAGTTTTTGGGAAAGGCAGGTCCAGCCGTTTCGGAGATATAGAGCAAAGAAAGCAGAAAATAGAAATCAAGATTTTGAGAGAACCGAAAATCCGATTTATGAGATTCAAAAAACATTCGATTCCTATTGATGAGAAAAAGTGGTGATTAGTTTTTGAAAAAGGCAGGTCCAGCCGTTTCGGAAATACGAGGTTGTAAAAATGATATTTATTTACTATTATTTATCTACTTACTTTACAAATCGTTTAATCTCCAAATACAATTCAAACAAAGTAGTACCCATTGCATTTGGAACCGTTTCCTTAACCAATTCGCAAACTTTTTGCAAATTTGCACAATACTCATCTATTTCTGGTTTTACACGTTCTGATAAAAGTTTTGCATATTCTTATATAAAATATTTGTGTAAGATACATTAGCAATCCTAAAATTAAATAAAATTAAACATAAAGCAATTTCCTATATAAAACATCAACTTACTCTTTGAATATTTTATCATAATCCTTGCTGGCTTCTTCCAAATCCTTCAGCACTCGTTGTATTAAATAAATAATTTTCTCAAACCTTCTTCACCATTTAGTTGTTCACTATTATCAAAACCAGAACTTGAAGCTAAAGGTTCTCGTGGTATTTCATCCTGGTGCTCCAGAAGATCCTTAAACCAATTTTGGGCCCCATAACGTACTGCCAGGTTTAAAGCATCCTTTATTGAATCGACCCCTGTAAATACAAATAAACTAGTGGTGTATGGCATCGTGCCTTAAGACAAATTGCTGGAACTTCCCGTAACGTAATGAAATATTCGAGAAATTTAAACGTTTTCAAATATATTATTACAAATACTGTAACTTTCATTATTTTGCATTATCTTGTTTGTTATATCTGAGCAAATCAAATGTAAATCATAAATCAATTTATCTCCTGAACATTAACAATCGTCATTTCATTTCGAATTCAATCTAAAAAAAAAATAGTTGCACAAAATTGAATAAATGCTCTCGTATAGTCACAGTCTAAACGCATTTGCAACTAGTGGGGTGGGTGGCATCGTGCCTTAAGGCAAATTGCTGGAACTTCCCGTACCGTAACGAAATGTTCGAGGAATACTGAATGTTTTCAAATAAATTATTATAAATATTGTAACATTGTCTAATATTTATAAGTATTATATAAACTGAATTGCAAAGTTGAAATTATTTGTTTAAAGTATATTAGAACTATAGTCAGAATTTAAAATAAAATCTGAATTATTTTCGATATACAAAAATTAAAAAAAAAAAAAAAAAATTAAACAAAATTTTTTTTTTCAAAATCAATTATTTTGTTAAGACAAGCAGAAAGTTCTTTGAATCATTCAAATCGGACGATTAGTTCTCTCAAAAACTGCCATTTTTACATATTTAACTCCGTATCTTCGAAATGGCTGGGCCTACCTTTGCTAAAAACTAATCAGTTCTTTTCTCTATCGATAGGAATCGATTGTTTTTTGAACCATTCAAATCGGTTGATCCGTGCGCCCCGAAAACGTGACTGGAAATTGTATCCATACATACATACACACACACATACACACACATCCATTTTTTCTGAGGTATGCCAAAATGTTCAGAAACCTCAAAACGTCGAGAAATGTAAAAATTTTCAATTCCGATTTTCGGCCCATTACAATAACTTACCCTTCGGGAAGTTAATAATTCTGTGTGACATTTTCACTTATACTGTGCTTAGCTTGGCGGCATTTTCACATTTCTCAATAGTTTTTCACAAATTGGAAAAGTGCAACAGTCTAAACGCACTTGGGTAAACATTTGTACCAGACTGTGCTTAGTCTGGGTAATTTTTTTCGAATTTTTAATCCAAAATTACAAAAATATTTTATGGAAAATAAAAAAAGATGCAATAATTTTTTATCCTCAAAAGCAATTGTTTTGTCAATACAAGCAGAAAGTTTTTTAGATCACTCAAATCGGACGCTTAGTTCACACAAAAACTGATATTTTTGCACATTTAGCTCTGTATCTTCGAAATGGCTCGACTTGCCTTTGCCCAAGACTAATCAGAACATCTCCCTATCAATAGGGATCGAATGTTTTTTAAACTATTCAAATCGGTTAATCCGTGCGCCAGAAAACGTGGACGAAAAATGCAGACATACAAAAACAAACACACCCATCCATTCTAGTGAGGTATGCCAAAATATTCAGAAATCTTCAAAACGTCGAAAAATGCGAAAAAATTCATTATCGATTTTCGGCCCTTACTATAACTACCCTACGGAAAGTTAAATATAAATAAAAATTATAGATTTAACAAAGTTTGCTAATAAATTCTCACCATCTGTTAATTTAATCACGTATACATTTTAGCAGGTAGCAACTCAAAGCCTGCAGGAGCCCTAAAATAAGCTAACGTCTGCACAATATGTAGAGCTTCTTTTAAATCTTTCAGCACCATCTGATTATTTCTTTGCATCTGCCAACAAAAATTCATATAATTCTGTCCCAACTTCCAAAAATCTTTTTCATTTACCGTTTTTATTATAGAAAAACATCCAGGAAGTATCCTTACAGCTCCTTCCCAAAACATAATTTCCTCCTCGATTTCCAAAACCTGAGCACCAGCTGACTGTTGCTGCAAAGGCTTGACCAAGACCTTTAGAAGTCTATTAAATAATTCTAAAGACAAAGGTTTTTCCGTGGAATGGATTTGAGTGTAGACAGACCATTCGCAAAGGGCGTTTGCAGTGTGCGAGAGGCCCCCTTGGGCCCTGTGTTGGATTAGTATGGCTTGGGATTGGGGGCTCCAGGTGCCGGACCAAGTTTCGGAATCCAAAAAAATAATAAGATAATTATAAAGCGTGATTTTTCAGATTTATAAGTGAACCATAAAAGTTTAATATATTAGTAACTTTTAGAAATCTTATTATTATCTGCATAATATTTACATTAAACGTGTTACGCAATATTAACTTATTATCAATTTGTCTGACAAATCCGTAATATTACATTTATTTTTGTGACGTAACATATACGTAAAACTGTTTCATAGATATAACATAAAATGTTACGTAAGATTAATTTATATTGACCATTTTTACTTCATTCGTAGCATTAATTTTTGTAAAGTGACATATATGTAACACTGTTTCACGGATGTTACATAATATGCTGCGTAAGAATACTTCATTATCAAATTAAATCTTTAAATGTATTTAAGTCAAATAAAGCATATTTTCAAATTAAAAAAAAAAAATCAATTTAACTTCATCCTTAGTATCGCTTTTATTTTTGTAACATATACGTAATAATTTTCCATAGATGTTACGTAAGAATAACTTAATTTCAATTTCACTTTATCTTTAATATTGCATTAATTTTTGTAACGTAACATATACGTAATACTGTTTCACGGATATTACATAATATGTTACGTAAGAATAATTTATTAACATTTTGAATCTTTAAATCTTTATGTAAAAATCAATGTATGAATTTAAGTCAAATAAAGCATATTTTTTTTTTTTTGTGACAAACTTAAGTAATAATTTTTCATGTTACGTAAGAATAACTTAATTTCAATTTCACTTCATCTTTAGAAATACATTAATTTTGTGATGTAACAAATACGTAAAACTGTTTCACGGATGTTACATAATATGTTAAGTAAGTATAATAATAATTATCAATTTGAATATTTAAATCTTTATGTAAAAATCAATGTATGTATTTAAGTCAAATAAAGCATATTTTTAAATTTAAAAAAAATTATCAATTGACTTCGTCCTTAGTATTGCTTTTATTTTTGTAACATATACGTAAAATTGTTTCATGGATGTTAAATAAGTTGTTGCAAAAGTAGAACTAAATTGCATTGATTTTTGTTACGTATCTTATACGTAACACTGTTTCTTAGTTATTACATACCTTCAACGTGTCCAGCTCGTATAAGAGTAACATTTTCAATAGCTCCATGTAGTTTTGTATAAAATTATCATGATCTTTAGGTCCATATTTTATCTGTTCTTCCTTTTGTGCTCCAACAGCGATTCTTAGTTTTAGAACTCCTTGTTTTTTTATTTTAGGCGGTTTATCCAAACTGTATAACATTGTTGTGCCAGACATTGGAATTGACTAAAAACGAAAAAAAAATATATAAATATTTTGTAATAATATATTGAAAACAGAACATAATTCAGAATTGTTTTAGATTTCTCGAATTAAAAATATATTGAGCGTTTAATAAATAGTTGTTTCAATACAATCTTTACAAGTAAATTTATAAACTAAATCAAAAAATTCTTTGTTAGGAGTTTTTTTTATTTTAATATGAAAAAAATATTTAATTAACTAACCGTATTGTCAAGCTTAATAACTGAGAACCTCTTAAAAATGACTTCTTTTAAAAATAAGTAATAAATAAAATATAAATATAGCCTTAATATTTATTAAGTTAAGATGAAAAACTATTTAAACTAGAGGATTTTTTTGATGATAATTATTTGTATTATTATCTAAAGTGAAGATTAAGAAGAAAATTAAAAATATTGATTCGAAATTATTTTATCCTTATATTTAGAAAAATGGCTCAATCATTAAATAAAATTATAATAGTAATTTCAAAAGAACGAGACAGAAATAATTAATAATTCTAAATCAATCCGACCAAGATGTTCTAAAAACTAACAGAAGTAACTAAGTATCATCCCAAAGTTTAATTATTTATTACAATTTTATTGAAATAATTTTAATAAATATACATTATTATAATTATTACCTTCAAAGGTATTTTTCCGGTTCCAATTAACAAGTCTTCCGTTTTTGGCGTCGAATTGTTTGCTGAAAATTCTTTCATCAATTTTCCAAGACTTTTTACTTTGCCTAAAGTTCCAAACTTTTTGTTTTTGTTGTCTACTGCTTCGAAATCCCTAGAAAATAACAATAAAATAATAAATTGCAAAATAATCTATAAGAATTAAAATAAAAAAAAGATACAATTTTACACATACAAATTTTTGTGTCAAATGTTTCAGAATGACTAGAAACGCAAACAAAACATTATTTTGTTGTATTTATCATAGCAGTACATATAAAATATAATAAATCAACATTTTAGATATATATTATATTGACATTTTGTATGTTAAATTTACGAAACCATGTAATGTAACTGTTACGTAAAAACAAAACGATGCATTTAAGGGTAAAGGTTGAAACTATACGTAATATTTACGTTTTATTAACGTAACCATAAAATATGAAACGACGTTCCTTCTGTGCTATGTGGGATAGAATAGACAAATAAGTCTTTCTGGGTAGGAAAATATTATAGATTATTTAAAAACGTTGATGTTTGTATGAAATCTGAGATTTGTTTTTTGAAAATGATGCAAAATGTCTGGTAAAAATTGTAAATCCTACAGGAAAACATAAAATTGCCATTGTAGATTTTCTGAGTCATTTTATTTTTAAATTGGCCGAAATTTGAATAAACATTGTTTGTAAGGCTTGTCAGATTATCATATTTTAATCGTTATACACGATGAATGCTATAGTATGCACGTCAAGTATACGCTTATGCTATTTTACGCAAAAATGCTTGCCCAAGCTAATTAGCGACTACGGGAACATTTAAGTTACGAACGAAAATACCTAAAGAATCAATTAGTCATTACCTTGACAGATAAAATTACTACAAAAATGTAAGGTTATGTGATTTTAAATTCAAAGTAATTGACGTTAAATTTTGAATACTTTAACATTCACATCAATCTGCATCACAAATGAATGCTATACCATTCACATCCGCAAACGTGTTGATAAATAATAAGTCTTTTCAGTAAAGGCTCTCAATTTTCTAATTAAACAATAAAATAAATTTATAATGTAACTTACCAGACTTCCAGACAGAGTACTTCCTGTTGCGTATTTTTACCAAGCGGCCTAAAACAAACCAATCATTAAATCATACACTACAATTATAAAAGTATTTATAATTATATAATAAAGTTATTATAATTAACTATTATTATTATTGTCAAAATAATTCTTGATACCAACAGACTAATGTGTTCGCCCCATTCAGGATTAAATGCACCCGACTTCATGCCGGTGTAATGCCTTTCGGTTGGCGCGCTTTCTAAATACAGAGCGACGTACGCGTTGGGCGCACGCGATTGCTGTTTGCTTAATAAATCTTTTGCTTCTACAATCTGAAAAAAATAGAAAAATATATTTAGAATAGTGTTATTCAATAATAAAAAAAATGTTTATTATAATACTAGCAAACCCGACGAACTCCGTTTCGCCACCTTCATCTTTCTCATGGCTTCGTGAGAAAGATGAAGAAATTGTTAGTTTGTTTTATATTTGAAAAGGAAAAATTTGATTTTATTACACAACAGTTGTTAACGCCTTACTCAACCGTGGTCTAATTATATATTTTATTACCGTCAGACAGGATAGCGATAATAAACCCTCATCCCTTATTATATAATTTAGAACTATAAAATAATCCCTTTCATTGTCACGCATCCTGTCCCTAAATCTATCATCATATCATTAATCGATTTTTCTAAGAATTTTAATCGCCTGTCCCTAAATATATCATCCTACAATTAATATATATTTCTAAGAAACTTGGATTACCTTTACCCAGTTTCAATTCTAGGTATCATGCAATCACCGACCAATACCTGATTGGTTGATGAATGTAATAGCCACTGATTGGATCCAAAATTGTAAGGGAATGTCGCTTAATTCCACAAAATGAACAAATTAGAAAAATATATAAAATTGTAAAATCTTTATATTTTAGTATTAACTCAAATATCATCTAGTTAACATCAGTCTTAAACCAATACTCAACTAAGCAACTAGTCTTAAATCAACATTCAAAGCAATAATATCTAACATATCATCTATAAATCTTAATCTTTCTTCCAAATATACAATAATTAAACATTTATTATTATTCTTTTATTCGGTCTGATATAGCCACTATCTAAGTATATCTGGTCCTTCGACAATATAAATAAGGTGCAAGTGTTCGGCAGCATCTTGGTAGATCACGGACTTCTTATACATTTTTGCAATCTATCTTTAAACAACAGTAATGAATTTATTTCGATTACAAAAATGAAGTGTTTGTTAGTTGAACTTCTCTAAGTAAATGAAAGTAAATCCGCAAATTATCCGTTCCATGGAAGTGCTCTTTGGTAAACCACATTTTTTGTTTTTTGGTCTGACGTCGTTAACACAAACAAAGCGGATAGTTTTCCAGCTCGTGAACAGGCAACGTATAACTGCCCATGTGAAAAACAATGATTTTCTAAATAATCTATCTGAAATTTATCCCGCAAACACTAAGCGATTGGCCTTGAGACTTGTTATTGCGAACGCAAGGCGAACTGGAAATTGCAATCGTTTGAAGTCAAACGGAAGACCAGTCGGAATCATTAGTATGTCACCAAGTCGCCAGCAATTTTTGATTGAATGGTGAAATTCAGTGCGTGTACATCATTATTCTTTGCGGCAAGAATTGTTAATTGACTTAATTGCAAGCATAATTCTGATAATTCTCACTAATGTCATTACTCGAATTTTTAATTACGGTGCATGAAGTTCCAGCAATTTACATTAAGGCACGATGGCATGCACCACTAATTTTCTTAGCTATAAACCTTGAGGAGCCCGAGACCATTCCAACAAATGCAAAATTGTAGAAATCGGTTCGTGCGTTCTGGAGTTGTATCGTCAGGAAGGAAAACCCGACTTATTTTTATATATATGTATATAGTTACAATAATAATGGTAGTGGATATTAAATACACAGGTGAGTGTGAAAGTAGTACAGTAAACCCTCGGTTAACGCGGCAAGTGCGTACCGTGCATTATGGGGACTGTGCTATAAAAAAACTCGTAGTTAACATACAATTCAGTAGTGCGTTCTATGGAACCTCATATAGTGCAGTATGGGAACCGCGCTACAAGAGACTCAGAGTTAGTACAAATCGCACAATTTTTATCGTGCTGTATGAAAACCAAGAAATACAACTTAAAGTAGGAGTAATACCGATAAAATGACATGTATGACATTGACACTTTCTTCAAAAATTGGCGCGACACAGTAGTCAGCTCGAACGTGTTCTTAGACAGTTATTATATAATCAGACACGTTTAAAAGATAAAAGTCGATAGCAAAACTTACATTAACACCCTTTTAATATCAAGTTCGTATAATCACTCACAAGTTGCGCAAGGAACTTATGGGCTGTTGAACAAAAACCGTGCAATAGGAAGTCCGTGTAGTCGGAGGGATGTCGGATTTTAGCTCCGCGTAGTATGGAAACCGTGCACCCAGAGTGTCGTGTTAACCGAGGGTTGACTGTAGTTATATATTTCCTATCTTTTATTTTACCTCTACGTTTAATCTTTGTTCCGGTGCAATTTTAACCATAGCCTTCGCCATTGCTAATTCGTGTTTGTTTGCAGAAATGCGAAAAACCTGTCGCAGATGTTCGATTTGGGCTTCTTGCTCCTGCAGCAGGACATCGTTTTTGGAGCACCCCACATTGTGCAAAATTCCAAATAGGACTTCTTCGTATAAATCATCTAACTGGAAAAAGATAGAATACTCTTAGATTTGTATTTGAACCATAAATGTAACCGCAACAGTATTAAAAATATGCTCTATGTCAAACGATAAATATTTAAAAAAAGAGTGCGCGTAAGGTTCACACACGATTGAAGTAAAACTTTTTTGCTACTGTACGAGATGGCATTTAAGTAAAAATAAATACATCATGTAACAATTTTGAATAATGTTCATCAATAATATGGTAACACTCGTGATGCACACATTTATTAGTGTAAATCATTATACTCATTTATATAATGATAAATTATAAATTATATATTTACAATAGCATTCAAAATATGTATAATATTTAAAAACAATAATGTAATTAAAGTCATACTTCAAATACGACATGATCGTTTGTGATTGTAATTTAGCATTTATAAATGAACCTTCAATAGAGAAATGAAGTAATTTAAATGATTAATAAATTCTATAATATTCGTTCACACAGTGAATTATGTTAAACAACGCCTAAACAAATATTGTTTTCACAACTTTCACTCATCATGTAATAATTGTGTTTGAAGAACTTCATGTAATTAAAATTAACATACATTCATTGACAGATGGTATTTTTTTTACTTTTTCGCTGGCGATATAATCTCATTCTTTGAACAGCTGTAATATCTGTCTTGCCTAAGAAATATTTTCCATTTTAATAACTTCAAGGATTTATAGAAACTACGAATAATATAGAAATAATTTCTAATCAATAAACTTACGTTTAGTACACGGCACAAATGTTTAATTTGTTTTATTATTTTCAAGAAACAGAGTAAAATATTCTTCTAATTCAGACATTTTTCATTAGATCAACATTTGTACTACGATGTAACCCTAAAATGTTTATTTATCTATGCCGATTTCCTTGTTGATATCGGTACGCATACAACGACAGATCTCTATTCACATACACGACGACCAATCACAATCGACCCGTATAGAAATGATATCATCGAGAGTGAATGAAGAATCATTGGCACTTTGATCTTATCTTATCTGCCGTAACGCACTTCCGTTGCATTTGTATAAATTTACACCCTAGTTGCGCCTAAAGAAGTTTTACTTCAAAAAATTAAATTTAAATATTCAATCCTAAAACAAATATATTATTAAAACCTAATAACTAAAACATTTTAGAATACTTATACATTAATATAAATTTTATTATTATATTTTTCAGTACTCTATACTTACTCTAACAATGGCGTTTATTACTCTCACTGACGTCATGGTTTCATGCTTCATACACATACGTTTATTATTATTACGATTATCACTTATAATTTTATTTAATGTTTTTAACAATATGATTTAATATAATGGTTTTAATACAAACATATGTTTAATATAGGATTATTAGAAAAATTGTGTCTTAAATATAACATTGAGTAATTAGTACTGTGTGATTTGTCGTCGCGGTCGTTCTTCTCGTGATTTTGTATTTAACACCTTTGTTGACATATATTAATATATATATATATATATATATATATATATATATATATATATTTAAACTGCTCAAATAAATATTATCTCATCTTAACCCGCTATACTATTTATAGTTGTAAATTAAAACTAATGGGGCGTATGACATCGTGCCTTAAAAACATTGACATTTTTGAAAAAAAATTACTTTGAAAAAATTAGATTTTTGAGAAACTATAAATTTTTGACATAAATTTAATTTTTTTGAAAAAAAAAAATCTTTTTGGAGAAAAATTTATTTTAAAATATTTTGGAAATTCTAAATTTTTTTGAAGCATTCGTACTGCTTTAACTGCAAAGAAATAAAATAGCAAAGCGTGTAAGCGCCGCGTCGCCGTCTAACGGATAAGCATTGGTACGGAACCCATAGGAATGTAAACAAAATTTATACTTATTGTTAAAATCTCTATAAAATATCTGATAATTTGATTTGCATATGTCTAATGATCATTCTTGACCGCCAAATGGCATTTTTTTTTTTACTTTTTTACTAGATCTCCGAAACCGCTAGGCCTGCCTTCATAAAAATTAGATCAATTCTTCATCTTGAAGTAAAATGTTTTTTGAATTATTCAAACTGAGTAACCGTTTTTGGCACTTTTTGCCCCGTATCTTCAAAACGGCTGGACCTGCCTTCGCCAAAAACTAATTAGCACGTCTCCTTATCAATACGAATCGAATGTTTTTTGAGTTATTCAAATCGCTTCATTCGTGTTCCCGAAATCGTCGCCGAAAATTTGTATCCGAACACACGCACAAACACAGAAGCACACACATACATCCAATTGTTCTAAGGTTCGCCAAAATGTTCAGAAACCTCTGAAACGTAAAGATATATAAAAAAAATTATTTTCGATTTTTTTGCGATTACTATAACTTTCCCTACGGGAAGTTAATTAGTAAAATTCACTATTAATTTTTTTTATGAATTTTACATAATATATTATTATTAATATATATATATATATATATATATTAGGGTGGTCCTTAAAATGGTCATTTTCGAATTTCTTTGCTCCCAGGGGCTCAAATGGTTCCAAATAGATAAAAAACAATTCTCTGAAAGTTTTAGCTCTTAATATTAACGTTTAGATAGAGCGCAATTCAATCAAAGTTTTGTATGGAAAGAGCATGGAAAAAATTTTGAAAGTTAAAAAAAAATGTTTTGGGTATAACTTAGCGACAAATGAATGAGTTTTATTCATTCATTTGTTCACTAAATTACATCTAAAAACCATTTTTTAAATTTTTGAAAATTTTTCCATGCTATTTCCATACAAAACTTTGATAGAATTGCGCTCTATCTAAACGTTAATATTAAGAGCTAAAACTTTCAGAGAATTGTTTTTTATCTATTTGGAACCATTTGAGCCCCTGGGAGCAAGGAAATTCGAAAATGACCATTTTAAGGACCACCCTAATATATATATATATATATATATATATATATATTTTATATATTTTATATATATATATAAAATCGAGTAACCCACAAAAATAAAACATGATAACTATTAAATAGAAAATGGTAAAATAAAATAAAAAATATACTAAAAAAGAATCTGAAATTTTATTTAAAACAAAAAAAGACCCTCACAAGAAAAAAAATTGAATTAATAAAAAAATCTTCTTATGTGAAAATCTTTCGTAAATTTTGCAAAAATTTAAATTTTTGCTACGGGAAGTCTCAGCGATTTTCTTCAAGGCACGATAACATTAGTTAAAAAAAAAACTAAAACAAACTTACTGTTATAGTTGACTCCATTTCAGTAATAACCTCCTTTTTTAAATCACTCATTATCAAATCTCTTTCCACATATAAAACCATTTTTAAAAACAACACACCCAAAAAATCATTTAATTAAAATAAATAAAATTTCACACAAAACTCACTTTCAATTAATATTTTACAAAACCTATAACAAACTTTATTTATCACTGTTATTCCATTAATTGAATTTTTTGAAAATATCATTTAATATTTTTATTTGTTTTATCTCAATTGCAAATATTATCCGGCGATAATAAATAAGATAAGTAGTGATAAGTAAGTAGAGGTAAGGAGTTAAATACTAAAATTATCTCTTTGATAAAATTTTCGACGAAAATATTCAAAAATAGGTTATTGTGAAAGACAGAAAGGCTTCTTAGAAATATGTATATATATATATATATATATATATATATATATATGTGTGTGTGTACGTATATACACTCTTATCATTTAAATCAAAACTCTTATGATTTAAATAAGAATTTTTTTACCAACTTTTTTAAATTTTTAATTAATAGTTCGTTACTAGTATAAAACCCGAGCTGAATTATATGAAACTGTACGTAACAGACACGTTACGTAAACGTGTCATTTGGTTCTGTTGAAATTAACCTAGAGTGCACTTATGTTTAACTTCCCGAAGGAGAAGTTTATGTTTTCATCAAAAAATCCGATTCGCTAATTTTATGTTTTCTCGACGTTTCGAGCCATTCTGAATCGAATGGAACTAAATTTGGATAAAGTATGTGTGTGTATGTGTGTGTGTGTGCGTGTGTGTGTATGTGAACAGATTTTTTGCCGTAAATCGACGTTTTCTCGAAAACGGCTGGACCGTTTTTAAAAATTTAAAAGCCATTCGATGTATCTCGACGAGAACTATTGTTTGTCAGTTTTGTGCGACGATCGGCCAAGCCGTTTCTTTATAAATGGCAGAAAAGTAAAAAAATTTTCGTCTACGTTTTAGCCCGCAATTCTGAATCGATTTTGAAAATTCAAAAACCGTTCGAAAGATATTGGTTGGGAATAGTGCTGATTAGTTTTTGGTAGAGATCGGCCGGGCCGTTTTCTTGTAATAGAGTTAAAAAAAAAAAAATATTACGGCCCTACGACAACTGGTTTAGCTTTAAAAAGTCGTCAAAGTTTGCAAAAATTGGTATGGTCTTTTGGCATTTGTCAAAATTAGACTTTTGATCGACGTTTTCTCAAAAACGCCTGAACCGATTTTAGAAATTTAAAAGCCATTTGATGTATTTCGGTGAGGACTATCATTTGTCAGTTTTGTGCAACGATCTGCCAAGCCGTTTCTTTTTAATTTGAAAAAAAAGTGTTAAACTTTTCGTCCACATAAGCTCATCCTACCGAACCGATTTTAAAAAATCAAAAACTGTTCGAAAGATATTAGTTAGGAATGATACTGATTAATTTTAGGTAAAAATCTACTGAGCCGTTTTCTTGTAATTAACTGTTGAAAAAAAAGTTTAAGCCGATTTTCATGGAACTTTTTTTGGCGATATACATCATGGTCTTACAGAACTTACTGTAATATTACGGCCTTACGATAATTAGTTTAATTTTAAAAATTCGTCAAAGTTTGCTAAAATTATAATCGTTTTTTTTTAAAGTAGGATTGATGAAGTATATTATTTACACATTTTTTTGATTAAGTCGATTATTTACACATATCGGGAAGTTCATGTAACTTGCCTCAAGGCTAAATACCAATACCAACTAGTTCGTAGATGCAACTTTACAAAATTCTTTTATAACTGCAATACTTTTTTTTAAACTATCATTACTTAAGCCAAAAAACACCAAATTTAGAAATTATTTATTATTTTGTTATACAACATTGTTATCCTTGTTAAATAATAAATAAAACTAGCAATAAATAATTTTGTATATAGAATATTTTTATTTATTTATTTATCTATTTACTTAGCGCCCACGGCAATGGGAAATATATATTTATAATTTCATTTAACATAAATTAAATTCATATACATATATAATATAAATCTATTTTATTATCATTAACTAAAAAATGATATTTAATTAAAATTTTATTAAAAATAAGTACTTTGAAATACAATTGCAACATACATCATAAAATAAATACAAAAGTTTCAACAATAAATAGACGATAATTTGAAATAAACTAAAAAATTAACAAAGATGGAAGTAAACTATATTAAAAATAATAATTTTAAATTATACGAACTTATCAGTTTATAATATTGCATCTGTATATATATATATATATATATATATATATATATATATATTTATTATAAATATCTCCACACATACATAATTTCTCACACATTATTGTCCTCGTCTCTCGAGATTCTGTTTCTATACAATTTTTAAAATCGTAATAACATCTATATATTTATTCACAATATACTTTCATCATTCAAACCTCATTCACATTTTGCATCCATTAATAATTGTATGATCTTAATCTTGTATTCACAATTCTCAACTCAAGATATACAAATATTAAAATATTTATTATTTTATGCTCGTATTCATAATTCTTTTTATTTTATTTTTCACAGCTTATTGCAAAATACTTTATGATTTTCTATATTTATTATATATGAGTCACTTGATTATATTTTTAAATAATTATTTCAGTATCTTAAAATATTTCTTGAGAGTCTCTTTCAATTTAATAAATTCGTGATTTAGTAGTAAATATCTTTTGTTTTTGTAATCACATTTTACATTAGTATTCATTTTGTGATAAATCTTGAGATTCAATATTTTATTTTGAGATTCTTGGGGCAATTCTTGAAATAAAAATGTTTATCTATTTGCCGTGCGATCAAGCGTATTTTACATATAAACAAGCAAGAAAGAATCTTATGAAAACTGCATCGTCAAAGATTCTGTTATCATAAGATTCTTCCTTGCTTGTTTATATTTATATTTATATTATATCACTGATCAAATATTTGTGTTGAGATTCCGAAGTTATTTTGATTTTCCGAGTTATATTTATATTTATATATTAATTATTAATCTCACAGTTCGTAAATTGAATTCAAATATAGTTCAGACTAATTTTGATTTGAGTTTTTTCAAAAATTCTCGAGCTTGTTTGTCACCTTGTCGATTCTCTAAAGCTTTGGATGTCTCATTATCTGAAAAATAAAAAAATAAATAAAATTATTATAAAATGTTTATCAATATATTTATATTTATAATAAGTTATTATTGTATAATTATTATGATAAAAAGATGAAGGATAAAAATGATGATGAATGATTGTACTTACATGAATGATAAAACAATGGTTGATATGTGATGTTATATTACACAAATCTTGTTAATAAACAAAAAATACACTTTCAAATACTTTTGCCATTAAAACATGCATTTAGGATTCTTCTTCTTTTTTAATAAATTTTCTTCAAAATGGTAAAAATAATAGCCAAAACCTCTTCCGAAATCTCGACAAACAAATAAATTGTCTCGACTGCAAATTAATTTACATAGGAGAAACAAGCCGGAATTTTTATTAAAAAAATCCTAGACAATTTAAAACAATGTTTACGGACCACATTAATATATTAGAACACAATATAGACTTTTTTAACCTTTTGTACTTCATTTCGAAGAGAATTTATTTAAAAGAAAAATTAGTAAAGGATTATTTTTGACTACTTATAACAATAAAACAATAAATAAGCGAAATGATTTCAACGCGCTGTCCGATTCAAATCTTTTTTATTTATATAGCATTTCCAAATTTTTACAAAATATTGTGCGCAAAGGTTTCGTAATTCGTTCCACACATGCGTATTCTACACACATGTGTTGGTAAAAATATAAAAAAAAAAATCTAGTATGTATTTTGTGAAATGTAATTTAATTACAAGTAGTGTAGTGCATTACCATATCCTGGTACCATAAATTATAAAATTTTCTGTTTTCAACACTAAGATTAAATAATTGTAAGTACTTTTTACTATTGAATTTTTGTTCCCATTTAATTGCTAACTTCCCGTAGGGTAAGTTATAGTAATCGCAAAAAAATGAAAATGAAAATTTTTATATAATTTTACGTTTCAGAGGTTTCTGAACATTTTGGCATACCTTAGAAAAAATGGATGTATGAGTGTGTGTGTATGTATGTGTATGTGTATGTGAGCGGATACAAATTATCGTCGACGATAAGGATTGATGAGGAGACATGCTGATTAATTTTTGCCGGAGGCAGGTCTAGCCGTTTCGGAGATACGGGGCAAAAAATGCCAAAAACGGTAACTCAGTTTTTAAGATAACGGAGCGTCTGATTTTAATAATTCTTAAACCATTTTACTTGTATTGACAAGATGAAGAATTGATTAAATTTTCAAGAAGGCAGGTCTAGTGGTTTCGGTGATCTAGTGAATAAAGTAAAAACAATGCCATTTGCGGTATGCACATCAAATTATCAGATATTTTATAAAGATTTTAACAATAAGTATAAATTTTGTTTACATTCCTATGGGTTCCGTACCAATGCTTATCCGTTAGACAGCGGCGCGTCGCTTACGCGCTTCGATATTTCGTCTCTATGTAGTTAAAGCAGTACGTTTGCTTTGAAAAAATGTTCAGAATTTCCAAAATATTTCAAAATAAAAAACATTTTTTTTTTCAAAAAGTCAAAAATTTATAATTTTTCAAAAATCTAATTCTTCAAAGTAAAATTTTTTCAAAAAATTTTATTCTTTTTAAAAGAAAATAATTTTTGGTATGGGAAGTTCCAGCAATTTGCCTTAAGGCACGATGCCATACACCACTAGTTAAATTTTATTTTAAGTTTCCACTGAGCGAAGGCTAAGATTATAGCCGAAACGTAGGAATTGCAAAACAAATTAAAAAAAAAATTATGTTTTTGTATAACATTTACCTATGGCAGTGGGTCTGCTCAAAGTCAAATGAGTCTGTTCATCGCTATCAGAATCCCTTGGTACATCCGACAGTCTCATAAAGGCTTCGGCCATATATTGATTCGACATACCTAAGAAATCTTTATCTTTAACATTGAACGATATTAAGGCATCTTCTATGGCTAAATGTTCCTCTGATAATTGTCTGAAAATGAAC